TTTCACATATGAGATGAACCAAGAAATATGGTAGTTGTCATAGAGGATTAACAGCAGCATTCCTTAGATGAGACTGGCATTTTCCATTTGCTCAGCCCTATGTTCAGAGTTCTCAGACCCTGACTCCAAGGGCTTGGCAGAAAATGTAACTCACGCATTGACTCTACCACTTTTTCCTCAACACCAAACCACTGGTGAGATTAGGAAGATTAGACTCTGTTATCTAGCCAACACAACCATACTCTTGTCTATGAAATGCCTGGTAAAACCTGAAGGAACTATAAGTCTGGGCTGAACATACTTCTGTTTTCATTGGATTCTCCCTATCAATAGAGAAGAAAACTACACAAATCAAAATATCAAATGGAAACCCTCACATGTTAGGAATATTCCATGAGGCTCTCTGTTTGTATCCAGCACATTGAATTTTTGTTGTTGTTGTTTTGCCAGTCTTAGAGCTTGAACTCAGGGCCTAGGCACTGTCCCTGAGCTTCTTTTGCTCAAGGCTAACACTCCACTACTAAGCCACATTCCCAGTCCCTAGTGTAAGGTCCATTCCTGGACGGCGAACACACCTCGCCCAGTACCTGCGTTACCTAGGCAACTGGGACACCTGGAAGAGGTCACATCCGAATCCACTGAGGTCACATCTTAATCTGCTGTGGCCACACCTTTCTCCCACCAGATCCCACTTCCCTTTACCTGGACACACCCTTCCCCACCCCCTACCCTATATAAGGCCAAACAGGGGGCCTGATGCTCTCTCTCTTTTGCCAGCCGCATGGAGTGCCAACCTTGCCTGGTCCCAGCAGGTCTACTGAATAAACCTACCCCTTACCTGAATACCACGTGCGTGGTGCAGTTCTTACTCGACTACCTCTTTTTAAAAACCTAACACCTAGCAGATTGAATATTTTATAAGGCTTTTGTTTATTTTTGTCGGTCGTGGGACTTAAACTCTGCGCCTAGGTGCTGTCCTTCAGCTCTTCAGCTCAAAGCAAGCACTCTACCACTTATACTACAGTGCCACTTTCAATTTTCTAGTAGTTAATTGGAAATAAGAGCCTCATGGACTTTCCTTTCTGGGCTGGCTTTGAACAGCGATCCTCAGATGTCAGCCTCCTGAGTAGCTAGGATTATAGGTATGAGACACCAGCACCCAGGAAGGTGTTTTTTTAACCAAAAACAAGCTCAAGTTATTGTTGGCACTAGGAATCAGGGGTTACCCAAATCCTCACTAGGATAACACCAATTCTTCACTTCCCTTACTCAGAAGTGAAATCCCTAGCGAAAGAAGGAAAGGGGGGGGGGGGGGAGGATAGGATATTCCCTCTTTAAACCATATATAATTAAAATTCAAAGCTCTCCACTGTAGAAGACTAAAGCCTGCAGCTTAAGGCTGACTCAGAGATGGATAAAGTATTCATTCTTGCTCAGAAAGAAAAAAAGATTAGCTCCACAAGGACAGGTGTCTAAACTGACACCAGATCTAGAAGTTAGATGTGCCTGTGCTACAGAGCATGATCTAAGTACCAGCTGGTGCCACAGCTGAGGAAAATCCCCAGAAATACACAACCAAAGAATGTTCAGATTAGCTCTCCTGAAGATGTTTACTACAAGGACTGGCAGCTACCTTCTGCAGCACAGCGTCACTTAGGATAGAAAATGGAGACAACAGAATGATCAGGTTAGAGTAGGAACCTATAAATACATAAGAAAAATCCCCACGAATACACAAATAAGGAGCAACAGAATGTTCAGATTTGCTCTCCTGAACATGTTTATTCCAAGGACTGGCAGCTGCCCCCTGCAGAGAAGGGGGGAGAGAGGGGGAAAGAGGGGGAAAGAGAGAGAGAGAGAGAGAGGGAGAGGGGGAGAGAAGGAGGGAGAGAAAGAGGGGGAGAGAGAGGGAAAGGGAGAGAGAGGGAGAGACAGGGAGAGAGGGGGGAGGGGGGAGAGGGGGGGAGGGGGAGAGGGGGGTAGGGAGGAGAGGGGGGAGAGGGGGGGAGGGGGGGAGAGGGGGGGGGAGAGGGGGGAGAGAGCTGCAAAGCATCTACCTTCTTAGAAAAAGGCAACTTCCCTTCAGAAACTGTCATTTTTTTTCTGAATTTTCTCTTTAATAGCAAATATTCAGACTGAGGATGTAGCCTAGTAGAAGAATGTGTGCTTAGCATATACAAGACCCCCAATTTTTTTTTATTTTTTATTGGTCATGGGGCTTGTACTCTGGGCCCAAGCATTGTCCCTCAGCTCTTCAGCTCAAGGCTAGCACTCTACCACTTGAGCTACAGCACCAGTTTTCTGGTGGTTTACTGGAGATAAGAGTTTCACTGACTTTCCTGCCCGGGTTGGCTTTGAACAGCAATCCTCAGATCTCTGCCTCCTGAGTAGCTAGGAGAATATGCATGAGCCACCGGCAACAAGTTGACCTCAAATTTGATCCCATAAATTGCAAAGGAAACAAGATGAGAAAAAAGTAAATTTTGAAAATTAAAAAAACATTTCTTGCAGTCCTATATACTAAGAGTTTCCACATGTATCACCTTAATTATTCTTCAAAGGTTATTCCTATTTTACACAAAGGAAAACAGTGCCTCAAGTGAAATAACTTACCCAAGATTATGTGGCTAACAAGTGGTAGATTCAGAATTAAAACTTATGTCCACTACTCCAAAAATCTGTTGTGTCCACTATTAAGATACTATGTGACATTATCATCTTAAAAATCAAAGGGTCATGTTTATCTGAAGACAAGTCAAGTGACAAGGGTGCTTAACCATATGATAGAGTGTTTTTTAAATAATATTGTATATTATTAATTGTATATTATTAATGAGACTGGTCTTTCATATAGTTCTGTCCCTGATATAGATTTTCAAAACTGCCTTTTTTTTTTTTTTTTGGTCGGTTGTAGAGCTTGAACTCTGGGCCTGGGCACTGTCCCTCATCTCTTCAGCTCAAAGCAAGCATTCTACCCCTTGAGCCACATCACCACTTCCAGTTTTCTGTTGGTTAACTGGAGATAAGAGTATCACGGGACTTTCCTACCAGGGCTGGCTTTGAACCATGATCCTCAGATCTCAGCCTCCAGAGTAACTAGGATTACAAGGCATGAGTCACCAGCACCTGGCTTCAAAACTGCTTTGAATAATAGCCATATCACCACTCTAACAAATATAAACAATGGAAAATTAGATTCTGGTGTGTTTATTACTCTAAAATATTTGTTACTCTTCATTTTCACTTCATTAGCCCTTTTCTTAGTTATGAAACTTACCAGGTCAGCCTCAGGCAGCTATGTAAAACTGACATTCAGAAAACAGAGAAGAGGAAGAAAACAGTATCAAAGGCCAGGTGCCGGTGGCTCACACCTGTAACCCTAGCTACTCATGGTTTGAAGCCAGCCCAGGCAGAAAAGTCAGTAAGACTCTTATCTCTAGTAAACTACTCAGAAAAAGCTGGAAGAGGAGCTATGGCTCCAGTGTATATCACTAACTTTGAGTACAAGAGGATCAGGGACAGTGATCAGGCCCTAAATTCAAACCCCAGACGTGCAAAAAGAAAACAGTATCAAAGTTCTGAGCAATTCTTTTTTTTTGGCTGGTGCTGGGGCCTGAACTCTGGGCTTGGGCACTGTCCCTCAGTTCTTCAGCTCAAGGCTAGTACCACTTGAGCCACAGCACCACTTCCAGCTTTTTCTGCTTATATGGTGCAGAGGAATCAAACCCAGGGCCTCATGCATGCAAGGCAAGCACTCTACCACTGAGCCACCTTCCCAGCCCCTTTGAGCAATTTTTCATTCCTGCCTACTAAAATATTCCAGATTCCTACAATCAGCAAAGTGAGGACAGTCTTTGTCTATTGCCAGTTTGATCAGCACTGTATATTAGTTAAATTCACTAAACATTTAAAAGACAAAAAGTAGCAACAGCATCTTAAAATTCCAAGTCTTGTTCCCAACTGAAGTCACAAACAACTTAAGTTCCTACCCGTATTACACAAACATCAATCTTAATATCATTTACACCTTGGCTCCCCAAATCTACTACACTTTTATAAGAAAAAAAAAAACCTTTGGGTGCAGTGAGATCTAAAAAGACCCACCCACATACAAAGTTCATATTGTCAAAACAAACAGTATTTGTAAACACATCAGCTCTTAGTAAATATGGAGGATTTGTTTCTCCTGCATATGTAGGCTTGGTCGGCTAACCATTCCTCAAAGCTGGTTGTGTTTTATTAAAGTAGGAAAGGCAGACATTAAGCATTTATTAGAAAACTGATCTTATATACGGGTCAATATTTTTTAAAGGCATCTAACAGTCCTAAGAAACCTATTGGCTTCTCAGCTGACAAGCATTTCCTGATTCCTGTCCTTTTCCATCAAAACAAGGATTCAGAGACACCTGAATGAGAACCACCTGGGATGGAGAGCGAATGCAAGCACGTACACTTCATCCTAAATTCCTGGGGTTAAAGGGTGTGCATAAATTCCCTACGCGATTTGAGACACAAGCAACTCTGCAACCTCTACTTTAAAGTCGCCTTCCATCTGCCAATATTAAGTAAAACACACCATGAGAGAGTGGAGATACTTAAGGAATCAGGGCACGATTTTATATGCCAAGACTCAAAAGTCTTGGCCAAGACCAAAATGCAATACTGGAGGTCTCAGAAATCAAAACCTATTTCACCTCTTCTTTGAACGGAGAACAGAGACCAAAAGAAGGGGCTAGAGAAGAAAAACAGATGTTGAGCTAAAAGCCACTGCCATCTCTCCTGGCGTCGAAAGGGTTACTAAGAGGTATTTTAGTGGGAAAGGTAGAAAATACGCCTTTAGCTTGGGAGCCCACAGGGACGTCTCGCTTTAGAGATACTGGCAGGGTCGTGTTGGGACCCCTGAACAGTTGCGATGGCGCCCAAACGGCAGGTGGCAGGTGGCCCGGACAGCCAGCGCCCTCCGCCCAACTCCAGGGCCCAGAAGCCCTCTCCGCCCCTACCTTCGGCTTTCGGCACGGCAGCCGAGGGGCAGACACAAACCCCACAATTCCAGGCGGCCACCACGGCAACCAGCTCCCCCTCCGCAAACGCCGCGCCGACTGTACGAACCTGTGAGCGCGCGGCTATTACGTCACTCGCTCCACCGCCCAATAGAAACCTGCCAGAACGCCCGGCGACTGCCACGCTCTCCAGAGTTGCTAGCCCCGCCTTCCTCTAGCTTCTGTTAAACCTCATCCGCTAGCGTCTTCTTCCGCAAATACTGAACTTCCTTTGCCTGGTGTCCCTCCGCTAGAGGAAGAAGTCACCGAAGAGAGAATTCACCGGCCTAGTTTTATTGTAACTCACTTGCTTTATGTACATGTACATTGTGTAAGTTTAGAAAACGATCAACTTGCAGTTCTAATTCTTCTCTACCACTGAATGTTTTTATTTGCCAGAGGCTGCAAATATAAAATAGGTACATTTATGTCTCATAATGTCCCAAGATAGGAATTGCCACTCACTTTTTATAAATAATGACAATGAAGCTAAGAGCGGCTAGAGAATTTATGCTAGGTCATACTGCCAGGAAATGGTAGTACTGGAAATTCAAGCTAAATTAGCTCAGGGTTGTGAGACCTAGAAATGCTAAACCTGACCAGAATTCACTATTACCCTAGAGCCCAGATACAGACTCCTAGTTATTGTTGAATGGGGGAAAAAGATAAACGAAAAACACTATGTCCCCAAATGATAGGTATTCTCCAAGAGCCATCAACCTCAGGAGTTTCTTTCCTTTCTCTGAATATTGTGTGGGGTTTCAGCATTCAATTTACCTTCTTGATTATATTTACTTCAAGCAGGTGGGAAATGATTTCACAACCTCTTAGCAAATTATAGAGGCCTGGAGAAGGAGAACAAACCACTGCAATAGCTGAGTAGGCTGTGCCAGTTTATAAGAAAAGTATAAAATATTTTCCCTGGTTACTAAGCAGGAAGAGACATGGAACAGTTTCCTATGACATACCCAGGAGTTCAGTAAGTTGATTCAAAACCAGCCCAGGCAGAAAATTCCCCATGAGATTCTTATCTCCAATTAACCACTCAAAAATTGGAAGTGGCGCTGTAGCTCAAAATGGTAGATCACTAGCCTTGAGCAAAAGAGCTCAGGACAGCACTCAGGCCCTGAGTTCAAAGCCCCATGTCTAACAAAAGAAAAAAAATTAAAGATTTAAGGTGGATCCCAGTAGCTTATACCTGCTACTCAGGAGGCTAAAGATTTGAGGACTGCAGTTTAAAGCCAACCTGGGTAGAACTATCCAGCAAAACACTGTACTAGAGGTTTGGCTCAAGTGGCAGAGTGAGTGGTAGCTGTGAAAGAAAAAGCCAAGCAAGAATCTGAGGCCCTGAGTTCAAGCCTTAGTACAACACACACACACACACAAATACATTTAGTCTACCAAACAAAGTACACTAGCAACAAAGTACACTATGAGTATTGTCTGTTTAACCTCTTGATGTAAGACCGGCTCCTGGATGGCCAGCAGACTCCACCCTCCTCGCAGCAAAGTCTCCACCCAGTACCTGCGTTACCTAGGCAACTGGGACACCTGGAAGAGGTCTCATCTGTATCCGCTGAGGTCACATCTGAATTTGATGTGGCCACACCTTTCTCCGCCCATACCCTAGATAAGGCCTAGCCCAGGCCCAGACGCTCTCTCTCTGCTCTTTTCTAGCTCTTCTCTTTTCTAGCTGTTTTCTCTCTTTTCTAGCTCTCTCTTAACTCTTTTCCCCAGCTCTCTTTCTCTCTTTCCCAGCTCTCTCTCTTTCTGAGGCTTTTCCCAGCCACGTGGAGGGCCAACATGGCCTGGTGCCAGCCAGAACGATGAACAAACCTACCCTTTACCTGAATTCCACGTGCATGGTGACGTTCTTACTCAGCTACCTCTTTTTAAAAACCTATCAGATTCCATGACCACTTGGGAGCTGTGGCTTATACCTCAATGGAATGTCTTACTGCCTATTCCTAAGATTATGATTTGAAAATGAAATTGAGGCAAGATAGACTATGGAAAATGAGGCATGGTAAATGGCTTCCAGGAATTCAAAAATTCAAGCTTAACGCAAATACAGGAGATATTTATTCATCTACTTCCCTTAAGATTAAAGGACAGAAGTCATTTTAGGGGAAAATGAGACAGTTTAGATTAATGGCTGCCAGGAATTCAAAAACTTAAATTTAAAGTGAATACAGGAAATATTCATCTATCAACTTCCTTTAATATTAAAGGACAAAAGATACATCTTCTCTTCCTCTCTCCTCTCTTCCCCACCCCCTCTCGCCTTCTCCCCACTTCTTCTCCCCACCTTCTCTCTTATCCATCATAGGGTAAGTTCTTCTAAGTTGTTCTGTCAGGTATTTTGTCACAGCAATAAAAGGTCTAACACAACTAGGATAGAAAAAGATCAAAATTCAAAAAAAAAATTGTGTGTTTGTGTGTATGTGTATGGTAGCTACTACTAGGGCTTAAACCCATGCCTGGCTGCTATCCCTTAGCTTTTTCTACTCAAGTCTGGCACTCTACCACTTAAGCCATACCTCCATTTCCAGATTTTTGGTACTTAATTGGAGATGAGTCTTACAGACTTTTCTTACCATACTGTCTCTGAACTTCAATTCTTAGCTCTCCATCTCCAGAGTAGCTAGGATTACAGAGTAGCTAGAGTTACAATTCTACAAACTAGAATTACTGGTGACTGCACCAGTACCTCAATCAATAGTCAAAATTTGAAGAAGGATTCTATTAAATGTGGATCACTTTTGCATCATCATAAAGTAAAAAATCATAAAACTATTGCAAGTCAGGGACTGTATCCTGAGAAGAATAAAATGTTGAATAAATATCTAGTGCATGAATGATAAATTATAGAATGAACACATTAATTACAATTGTGAGCTTGGCACAAGTTATAAAACAGATACCAATAAGTAAGTACTACAAGAGTAACATCCTTAAAAATAGGATATGCTCAAACTGGAGTCATGATTCAAGAGGTAGAGCACCTATCCAATAAGCACAAGGCCCTAAATTCAGCAAAAGAGAGATAGAGAAAGGAGAATTTAACATAATCTCTGTGTGTGTCTGTATATGAGAGAGAGAGTATAATATCTTGAACTTAGAGCCAGGGCACTCTCCCCTAGCTTTTTTGCTCAAGACTGGCACTCTACTACTTAAGCCACAGCTCCGCTTTTGGCTTTTTTACTGCTTAACTGGAGGTAAGAGTCTATGGACTTTTTTGCCTTAGATAGCTTAAAACTGAAATCCCCAGGTATTAGCCTCCCAACCAACTACAATTACAAGCATGAGCCACCAGCACCTGGTAAAATATGCTCACTTCTTAGAGTGAATAAATGAATGCAACGGCAAAGAAAAAGTCCAACTGAACACTGAGCCACCAGCATTCACAGGACTTGGCTTCCTCTTTACAACAGACACAACCAGTTCAGATATTTGGAGGGCATCCAAATCCCAATCCTTAAAAAACCTTGCCATAGCTGGGCACTGGTGGCTCATGCCTGTAACCCTAGCTACTCAGGAGGCTGAGACCTGAGGATTGTGGTTCGAAGCCAGCCTGGGCAGAAAGTCCATTAGACTCTTTATCTCCAATATACCACCAGAAAACCAGAAGTGACACTGTGGCTCAAGTGGTAGAGCGCTCACCTTGAGCCGAAGAGCTCAGGGACAGTGCCCAGGCCCACAGTTCAAGTCCTATGACCAACCAAGAAATAAAAAGAAAGAAAAAAAAAAACCTGCCATAGCCTAATGTTGATATCCCTTCACCACCACCACCAAAAAAAAAAAATCAATACATTGGAATCTAGTAACCAATGTATTAATATTATGAGATGGGGTTTTGGAGAATGAAATTAGTGCTGGGGCCCTTTAGCCATATCAAAAGCCCCAGATTAGTGCTTTTTATCAAAGAAGTTGAAGGGATCTTCTTTGCCTCTTTTGATATGTGAGATCACAAAAACAAGGGGCCATCTTTGAAGCAGACAGCAAGTATTGACCTGTTATTTTTTGTGTATAGCATATCCCCTAAAAGCTCATGTGTTCAGTGTGGTCCCCAGGTGAGAACAATTTTGGAAGAAAGCTGGTAGAACATTAGAATGGGAGGCTGTTTCAAGCTAGTAGATCACTGGAAATTTTCCTTTGAAGGGGCTTCTTGTCTCCTGCCCCCTCCTCTCCATCTCCCTTTGCTTCTTAGCTGCTATGAGTTAACCATCTTTCCTCTGCCATGTCCTTCCTCCATGATGTTCTGCCTTACCATGGCCCTAATAGCAATAGAGCCAATTGACTGTGGACTAAACCTCTGAAAATGTGAGCCAAAATTAATCCATCCTCCTTTAAATTGTTTCTCTTCATCATTTATACAGCAATGAAAAACTGACTATTACCAGATGCTGAACCTATTGACAACTTGATTTTGGACTTTATATCTGCTAGAACTGTAAGCAGTGAATTTATGTTGTTTTTAAATTACCAGTCTGAGCCAGCTACAGGTGTCTCACACCTGTATTATTAACTATTCAAGGGGCTGAGATATAAGATTCATGGTTGAAAGCTAGTCTAGGCAAAAAAGTTACTGAAACTCTTATCTCCAATTAACAACCAAAATTCAAGAATGGTAGTGTGGCCATGGATATGCAGCTGTGAAACAATCCTGCTTGGTACTTACCTCAAAGAGCTTAGGGTCAAATTAAAAAAAAAACAACACAGGAAGTGGCGCTGTAGCTCAAGTGGTAGAGCGCTTGCCTTGAGCTGAAGAGCTGAGGGACAGCGCCCAGGCCCAGAGTTCAAGCCCCACGACCGACAAAAAAAAAAAAAACACAGAGATATAAATAACAACAGTCCAGCAAGTGCCATTTTATAGAACTATTAACAAAAAAGTCTAAGTATAAGCCCACTCTGTTCACACTACACTTTCACATTGTGGTGTTTGTCCCAGATACTTCTGTGAGGTAGATGGGCAGATTATGTCCCCCATTTTCACATTTATCAAAAATTCTCTTTTCCGAGATATTTAGAACTATGCTGTTGCTGTATGGCTATTAGCTACCATATTGGACAGTGAAGATCACAGAACAT